GCCTTCGTTCATTTCATTCTTTGGCCTTGGCACCCGCGACGAGCACGTGTCCCGGAGCCCTTGCTCCTGGTTCAGTTCCCGGCTCTAACTGTCGCTTGGCGTTGAGGACGCCGTTTGACTGCCCCGCGCCTCGGTTTCCCCATGTGCACCGTCTCCGTGTTCGATCATTATCTTTACGTTCATGACTTTTAAGAAGCAGGTGTAATTACAAGTACGAACTCGCTGCGGAGGCTGTCGGGGTTCCAATACCGACACGACCGCTTCCCATGTAGCCTTACAACAAATTATTTACGCTCAGCCTCAGTTTCCTCCCCTGTAAAGGGGAGTGAGTCATAGTATGTTTGAGTGCGTGATTGGTACATAGCGCTCAGTAGATTTTAGACTCCGTGAACTTGTATATTGAGTTTTTCATTAAAACACCATTGTCCACCACGATATATCCCTTGTCCTCAGATGAGAAACTGAGGCTCAGGCGGGGGAAGTAACTTGCCCAAGGTTGCACAGCTAGTGAGTGACCCAGCCAGGCTCCCAGCCCATAGCCTCTGACTCAGAAACACTGGCTTTTCAGTTTCACACATCCTTTCTTTTATTAATATTCGTTAGGCACCTGCTTTACCCCAGGACATTGTTAGGTGCTGGGTGAGCTGGAGGAAATTCAGTCGCCAACAAGCAGACAGATCTCTTGCCCTTGCTTGGATGTGATGAAGCTATTTGTGTGTTCCTATTTTCAGTTTTCATCTGATCTAGGATGTAAGGTCCACTAAGCAGGGATTGGCTGCTTTGTTTCCTGCTGTATCCCCACTGATAGGTCTCCAGTATCTAGAAAAGTGTGGTGGGCCCAATTGTCATTCAATAAATATTCACTGAAACTCGAATTCAGTGAATTCTTTGCATTACTGGAGGTATTGTTCCCGCGTTAGGGAAACAGAAACAGAGGCTGAGAGAATTGATGTGACGTTTAGGTCATACAACTAGTAAAGGAAGGCAATCAGGATTTGAACCCGGCCTTTCGAACGCAAAGATGAATCTCTCAGCTAGCGCACTGCTTGGCCTAGTTTGTGTCCTGGTCAGGTAGAACGACTCTGACTGGGCGATGCTTACCCTTCTAGGTCTTTGTTTTGTTTTTAGGGAGTAAGTATGACAAATGCAATCCAGTCATAAAGGGTAGAAAGGAGAAGGGAGTTTTGGCACTACTAAACTTAGCTGTGGGGTGGCTTAAGGCTCAACCCTGCAGGGCATGAGCCGGGGAAACTTCCAGATGAGTTAAATTGTACTATTCTGCAGCATTCCTAAATTTTTTTTTTTTCCCTGAAATAAGCAGATATGCACTGTAAAAGTCTGGCTCAATCTTTGAAAATTAAGCTTAACATGAAGAAAGAATCTCATCCAATAACGATTTGTATCTTGATTGCAGGGATATCTGCCCCCGTTGTCTTTTTCGTAGACTATGCCTCCAACTGCTTATACATGGAAGAGATTGAAGGTTCAGTGACTGTTCGAGATTATATTCAATCCACTATGGAGACCGAAAAAACTCCCCAAAGTCTCCTTGGCTTAGCCAAGACGGTTGGGCAGGTTTTGGCTCGAATGCACGATGAAGACCTGATTCATGGTGATCTTACCACCTCGAACATGCTGCTGAAACCCCCCGTGGGACAGCTGAACATCGTGCTCATAGACTTTGGGCTGAGTTTCATTTCTGCACTTCCAGAAGATAAAGGAGTCGACCTCTACGTGCTGGAGAAAGCCTTCCTCAGTACCCACCCCAATACCGAGGCTGTGTTTGAAGCCTTTCTGAAGAGCTACTCCACCTTCTCCAAAAAGTCCAGGCCGGTGCTAAAAAAGTTAGATGAAGTGCGCCTGAGAGGAAGAAAGAGGTCCATGGTCGGGTAGAAGAGTCTGACAAGTACTGACGTGCTGGCCATTTGCGTCAAAGGGAATTTGAAGGAAGGCTCCGAATATGAGATTAGACCTAAATAAAGGCATTGAGATCCTTTTAAGTGCTGTCTGTGATCATGCTTGTTCAGTGTCATTATCATCTGCGGTCAACTGTTCTCAACAGCTTACTGTGGACAGAAGACAAGTTCTAGGCAGAATTGGGTATTTAAAAGAAATCTAGAACGGGCTTCCTCTTTGGCCAGGCCGCGTATATGTCAGGTACCTGGGCAATGGCATTGCAGAACGTTGAACCACGTGATGAGAACATTACTCTTCAGTCTTTTGGGTGATGTGGGGACAGAGTCTCAGTTGGTGACAGATACCTTTATCAACCCGCTAACCCAGCAGTTTTTTTGTCGTGTACATGACATATTCCCCCTGAAACCAATACAATGGGATACAGCCAGCATTTTTTTTTATTTTTTTATTTTTTATTTTTTTAAATTTTTTTTTTCAACGTTTATTTATTTTTGGGACAGAGAGAGACAGAGCATGAACGGGGGAGGGGCAGAGAGAGAGGGAGACACAGAATCGGAAACAGGCTCCAGGCTCTGAGCCATCAGCCCAGAGCCCGACGCGGGGCTCGAACTCACGAACCGCGAGATCGTGACCTGGCTGAAGTCGGACGCTTAACCGACTGCGCCACCCAGGCGCCCCTACAGCCAGCATTTTAAAAATGAACTAGAGGGGCGCCTGGGTGGCTCAGTTGGTTGAGCGTCCAACTTCAGCTCAGGTCATGATCTCACAGCTCGTGAGTTCGAGCCCCGCATCGGGCTCTGTGCTGACAGCTCAGCCTGGAGCCTGCTTCCAATTCTGTGTCTCCCTCTCTCTCTGCGCCTTGTCTGCGCGCACTGTCTCTCTCAAAAATAAATCAACGTAAAAAATAAAAATGAAGTAGAATCATAGAATAGAAAATATCAGAGCGCCTTACGTGTATTGTTTAATAAAACTTGTTTCAAGTGTATGTATAGACATACAGATACCCAGGGTATCTACTGGGTTTTGATGTAAGACACATTTCTTTTTGAGAGTCTTAGCAAAAAAAAGATGAAAAATACTGCTGACCTCCAATTAGTCTCGTTTTAAAAAAGCAGGCTCCTAGCTTTCAGGCAACTGGAATTTATGTGATTTTATGCAGCATGGTTTTTATCTTTGTTGCTCCGTATTTCTATGATTACCTTCTAACTAAGACAAGTGATTGATCTAAAGTTCCTTTTAGTTTAAGTTCCTTTAGTAAAAGAAAGTGAGTTGATTTATATCACAGAAAGTAAGCACGTAGAACAAAAGAGGTGAAACTACCTAGAAATGACTAGTTTGATAAAGCCTGGTTTAAGGGAAGGGGGAGGAAAACAGCAAAGATGCAAAATGCCGCCAATTAGCTTGCACTTAAAACCCCTCCCAGCCTGTCTCTTCCCCAGAGATGTGTGTCTGTGGGGAGGGAGGTATAATAAAGTACCTCTCCTCCTTGTCTGCACCAGCCAGCAAATAAGTACTTTGAGCGCCTTCTCTGTGCCCAGTATCATTGGCTACTGGGTACGTGGGCGGTGAGCATTTCCGTGGGTCCAGGACTGTGGGTTTCCTTCACCACAGTCAGCCCTGTGCCTGTGGCAGATGCCCAGGAATGAATGAAAACTTCCCTTCCTGGGTACTGGTGACCAGTAGACAGGAGAGTGAATATCGTTGCCTGGTTATCACTCATCAAGATACTGTCCCAGGAGTGTTCATATTGGAATTGAAACAACTCTAAGGTAGCATCCCCAGTGTATCGATGGAGAACTTGTCCAAGATGTCACAGGTGCAAGGGAGACTTTTTCCTGGCTCCCAAGCCCGTGTGGCCTCCACTGATGCTTTAGGAAACGAGATGCTGGAAGGGATACACTTTTGATATACCTTGACCTTCTATAACGTTATTTTCCAAGAACTTCAAGGGCCCCAGGGGCAATGATGTTTTCAAGGAATACTGTCAACGTGACTGAGAGCTGTCTGCCTCGGGGTGAGAATGACTGGTGGGCACACACGTACAGGTAGTAAGTCAGGAAACAGCTAGAGCTCGCCGCGTGCGGGGCCCTGGAGATAGAGGGGGACCTAAGGCTGCCCTTACTCAACGAGGAAACAGTGACAGAACTGGTGTGTGAAGGAGAGCCGGGGGCACCCGGGTGGCTCAGTCGGTTGAGCGTCCGACTTCGGCTCAGGTCATGATCTGGTGGTTCACGAGTTTGAGCCCCACGTCGGGCTCTGTGCTGACAGCTCAGAGCCTGGAGCCTCCCTCGGATTCTGTGCCTCCCTCCCTCTCTGCCCCTCCCCTGCTCGCGTTCTGTCTCAACTTATTTTTTTCTTAATTAAACCAAAAAAGAACCGGGAGGTGGGGGAGCGTGTCCCAGGCAGAGACCCATGAGGGACAAAGTTGGTAAAGGAGGGGCATCCCTGGGCAGCAAGGCCAGGGTGGCCAGTTCGCAGCGAGCAGAGCAGAGGAAGAGCGAGAAGTGAGATCAGAGAGGTGGGTGAGGACCAGCTCGGGGCCTTGTCACGAGCCCGGGTATTGTTCTCAACTCGACTGCAGTTTTAAACAGGAACGCATTTTACGTTTTCAAGGGATCACATCGGGAGAAAAGGCGGTAAAGGGGGGCTGGAGGGGAAGGGAAAAGCCTTTGCAACTGGCTGGGTCTGCGACAGTGGCAGCCTGGGGCAGAGAGAGGCCTTGGCGAGCGTGCAGCGATCCGCTCGGGCCCATTGGTGCGTGTGACACGGTGGCCAGCACGGCGGAGGCGGCAGCGTTAGGGAGGCTACAATGACGTTTGCAGGCATCGAGGGCAAGGGGGGTCCTGGAGCAGCCACACATGTTCCCAGGAGAACTGTCCATCTATGTACTCAGGCCCTGGCTCGGGATGGGAAACAAGGGATTATCACACAGTCAGTCCCAGGCGAGCAGTGGATTCCGTCCCTCGTTCAGCATCTCACAAAGGACCAAGCAATCCTCAGCAGTTCCAGATCCCTCAAAGTCCACGTGGGGACAGCTGGCCCTCCGCAGCGGTGAGCCAACGGCACTGGCAGCTCTGTGTGAATTCCATCTGGAACCTTCCCAGACGCGGCTTATAAACCTCATTTTACAGACGAGGAAAGACGCTTCACAATGCAAACTATCATGTCTTAGGGTCACACAAGTTGCAGGGCTGGGATTCAAACCTCCATTTTTAACAACAGCCGTTCGCTACTGAGTGGTTACTAAGTTCTTTGCGTGCATCAACCTATTTTGCAGAGGAGGCAATTGAGGCACAGAGAAATGGAGCCTTGCCCAAGGGCCACGCAGCTAGTGAGTAGCAGAGCCGGGGAAACGTGATGTGATACTGAGATGTGTCCAACACTGAAGAGGACACAATGCCCACATCTTCTAGAACATTTAAAAGAGCTCTTGTGGGGCGCCTAGGTGGCTCAGTCTGTTAAGCATCTGACTCCGGCTCAGGTCGTGATCTCACGGTTTGTGAGTTCGAGCCCCGTGTTGGGCTCTGTGCTGACAGCTCAGAGCCTGGAGCCTGCTTCGGATTCTGTGTCTCCCTCTCTCTCTGCCCCTCTCCCGCTCGCACTCTGTTTCTCTCTCTCTCTCAAAAAGTGAATAAACATTACAAAAAAAAAATTTTTTTTTAAAGACCTCTTGTGACTGCGGGCCACAGCATGGAGCCACCCACGTTGGGCATAGTGAGTGCTTCTTCAGTGTTCTCGTTAGGGGAGCTGACCACGCTCGCAGCATGTGCCGGCCGAGGGGACCCGGGCACACCTGCACTAGTGAAGGGATGCGCACGTAATCTCAGCTGTGACCGAGAAAGGAAACCCGAATCCTGATCCCGGTTCCAATCCAGTTTGTTTGCAAAACCAGGCGGGCAGCTCGTGGGCCATCGTTTGCCAAGTTGATTTTTTAAGATACTGCATTAAAATGTTTGTCTTGATTACTGGGTTTTTAGGTGCCGCCTCGAATTAGTGCCCTGGTAAGAGGCTCGCTCACCTCATCCTGGTCCTCACCCGGCTGCCACTGACCGCTGGAACCCCTGGCTGTGGGAGCCCAGCTGACAGGGCCCTGGGAATCTCCTCCTTGAGTCCTGAATTCAGAGTGCCACAACTCCAAAGGACCCAATTCCCCTTTCCGGAGCCCAGACGAGTGGCCGTCCTGGCCAGCAGAGGTCGCCAAGTTACCGTCATTATCCATGCAGGGGCGCTTCCTTCCCCTTCCATTCTCCTCCTCCACTTCCTTTTCTCTCTCCCTTCCCTCTCTCTCCCTCCTTTCTCTTCTTCTTCCCGTTTTCGTCCTATCTCCCTACCTCGAACTTGGCTCACTTATCCGCCCAACACCGAAGCATCCCCGTGCGGCAGGCACCGTGCAAATCACCCAGGCTACAGTCAGCAAAGACGTGGGATGTCTGGTTCCCTCCTGCCCGAATTTTGTCATGCGCTCTCTCCCTTCCTCACGCCTTCATTCACTGGGTATTTATTCCACACCCCGGCTCTGTCTGGCTCTGTGCTGGGTCCCAAAGAAGCTACTGGGATGAGAAAGCCCACAGCTACCACCCTGGAGCCCCTTCCCCTCCCCCTGCACTCTGCTGCAATCAATGGTTTCCCCACTGCTCCCCACTGTTTCTGCCCTGCCCATTGACCCCCCAAAACGTTCTTCCTTATAAAGCAGCCAGAGGCACCCTTGTAAAGCCAGTTTATGTCACTTGTCTAATCGGAACCTTGATGGCTTCCCATCCCACGTCTCCTTGCTTACCAGCTACATGATGAGGGACCCCCTCGCCGCGCCTCTCTGAGCCTCGGTGTCCTCATCTGTAAGATGGACCCATTTTACAGATGAAGAAGCTGAGTCTCAGAGATGCTAAGCGACTTTTCTAGTCATCAGCCTGTAAATGATAGAGATTGTGCCGGGCACTGTCTGTTGTCTACCCAGAGCCACACTCTTTATTCCTTCTGGACAGAACCTCTGTTTATCCAGGTATCTATTAGGTGAGAATGGCTTCATCTCAGGGAAGGTCAGACCGGTCCCTGATGTACAGGTGGGCACGTG